TCTGCTTGTCGGCTCTAATGGTCTTCTTCACTTTCTTGTTTGCTTCTATGTATTCAGCTTGTGCTTGGACTATCTCTTCTCGTGTTCGACTATTGTTAAGTGCTGTCTTCATGTTCTTCCTTTCTTTGATTCTGTCCAGTGTTTCTATAGAGATCCATTCCTTGTGATGATGCTTTTTGGGGCCCAGAACCTCTTGACACTTTGAAGTTAATGCTTCTTTGATACCTTTCCAGTTATCCTCCATAGTAGTTTCTTCTTCCTTCAGTAGATCCTGTAAGGTATGGAACCTGTTGTTGAGAGCTATCTTGAATTCATTGAGTTTGTCAGTATCTCGAAGGAAGGCTGTATTGAACCCTTGCAGCGCTATTTGTCCAGTTGTCCAGTTCTTCTTTAGATTCAGTTTTAAATTGGCCACAACCAGGTGGTGATCTGAAGCTATATCCGCTCCTCTCCTGGTTCTCACATCTTCCATTGTCCTTCGGAACATTTTATTGATGCAAATATGATCTATCTGGTTCTCTATGGTGTGGTCCGGTGAGATCCGTGTAGCTTTGTGTATACGTTTGTGTGGAAATATTGTGCCGCCTATGACCAATTTGTTGAATGCACACAGATTTACAAATCTTTCCCCATTTCCGTTTCTCTCTCCCAGTCCATGTCGTCCCATGATATCTTCATATCCAGTGTTGTCTGTTCCAACTTTGGCGTTTAGATCTCCCATCAGAATGGTGAGGTCCTTTCTTGGGCACTTCTCTATGATTGATTGCAGCCTCTCATAGAATTGATCTTCAATGTCGTCGTTGCTATCATTAGTGGGTGCATAACATTGGATAACATTCATTGTAATTCCCTCCTTCTTTGTTTTGAATGATGCTTTGATGATTCTGGATCCGTGAGATACCTATCCTACAAGTGCATTTCGTGCTACTTTGGACAGCATTAGAGCAACTCCTTAAGTGTGTGGAGCATTTTCCTCTTCGTGACCGGAGTATAGCAGCATCTCTCCGGTATTTAGCCTTTGTTGTCCAGCTTGGGTCCAATGGGTCTCACTGATTCCCAGTACTGTCAAGTTGTATCTCCTCATTTCTGTTGCTATTTGACTGGTCTTCCCGGTCTCCAACATTGTCCGGACGTTCCATGTACCTATAAAATTTGTTGCTCTGGTTGTTAGAAGGAGCATCGGCCTCATGGCTTCCGAAGGAACTCGGCTTTCACCCTGAGGCGTCATATTTCTTCTAAATGAAGACCTTCTAACTCCCAGGGCAGAGTTTAAATGGTTTGAATTATTTTTTCTGGTTAGCGTTTTTTGGCGAGTTAGCTTTCTACGGGATGGGGTTGCTAACCTTATGCCCAACGGTCCTCTTTTACCTGGGCTTGGGACCGGCAGTTACTCTAGAAGAGCTGCAGGCGGAGTTAAGATTGTAATAGTAAATTTAAATTGGAGAATACTTATTTATATATGAATTTAGAAGTTGAATTAATTCTGTTCCTTCATAGGTCACTAAATTTATTTACCGTATGCCAAGGCATACGAATTAAAACAACTACTTATATCGTTTAAATAACAGGAAGACTAACGCAGCTTTTTCAATTAATACAATTGTAGGTATATAAGGAGGACAACTGAACTATCTCAAGTTTTTAATATGAATACTCACTATGCATCGTTATTTTTATTGATGTTTTTGACCGTTTGTACATTTCAAGGACTGTCCAAAACGTTTTGTACTAGAAGCAAAGGCCATTCATTTTGAAACTTATTGATGAAGTGATGATATAACAAATGGACTCAACAAAAATTACTTTTATAAATCCTATTTGAATTCCTTATATCGACTGACATAAATTGAATGTACAATTATAATAATAGTCAGTTACACCCCAAAGAAGAGTTGTAAAAAGAACTTTAGTTTAGAAAGTTAATATCTCTTGCAGCACATAAGCATTAGGGAAGTTTTTTGTGTGAACGTTTATCCAGTCGTCAAAAAAAGTATTCTAGGACGAAAATTCGCTTATTTAATAGATCATGTTAGTAAATATAAGATTGTTAAAATGATCACAAAATATTTCGCGAGAAAATGACTTGATATTAAGACAAGAGAAGACAAATATGGTTAACGATTTTCCTGCACGGAATTCCCTGCTATTCATATTTCATAAGCAATGTAGGAATAAAAAACTCAAGACTTAGTACACTTGCTTGTTCTTCGTCATTCACAGTCACAAGTTCTGATTTATACTGCGTAGTAAACCTCACAATCTGAAAACTTTAGAACAGTCACTGGAAGCATTTGATTCAGGTGAGTTGAGAATCTAGAGACTTTTGAGTGAATAATTGTTTCCGTAAATTTTTCCTGATAGAAAACATGTGTAGGTTGAAATTATTTCGTCACAGTTATCCTCAACCCATATTTCATTTGATTCAGTCACAGTGAGCAACAATGAAGTTGTGTGTACAGTTTTAGTTGTATATTGCAATCCTATTGTTGGTTGAATAGATCTTCGATGACTGATGTGTTTTGAGATATGCGTTAAACTCATTTTGGGATACTATCGTTACTGGAGCGGGAGTATTTTGGAAGAACGCTAAGGAAACCTAATCCAAGACAACGTCAGTAACTCACAAATTCATTAACTTCTCAACTAGGCAGTATGAAGAAATGAATACATCTTCAATGAGATCTATTGAACAGTCATAATTTATGCTTCGTATATTTTGGAAGAAATAGGTCTGTATAGGCTTGTGTCACAGTTGCACTCATTTATTTTTCATTCACCAAATGTTCAGCCTAAAATTATTCTAAAATTTTCAATCTTAAATCGAATTCAATCCTCATGCACTGAAATCTGTAGATAAGAATAATAGTGATGCAGTAATAATACACTTGTAATATCTTAGTGGATCTAAAATCAAATTATTGACATTTTTCCACTTGGTGTAAGTCGCTTCTTTAGAGAATAAATAAATTAGAATGGAGGTTTTTAGAGGAGTCCCATATTGGGAGGAAACTTCCGTTCAGTGCTTTTAAGTTTTCAATGGTGGTCTAGCCTGCACCAACTCATGAATTCAACTATTAAATAAATTATCAGATAAAAGTAACACTAAGCTAAAGTGTACAGAGTAGGGAATCAAAACATTTAGTGCCACTAAAATACGCACACATGCCATCTCACCTTTTGCTTGAATGATTTAATATTGCCACGACCATACCTCTTTTGACTGTACTCAATATTTTGATTTATACCATTTAAATAAGTGTTGATTTAATCTGGTTATTTAATTATCTGTTAAAGAAGCGATTCATCTTCAGTTCAGAAACGTCAGAAATTCAATTTTCTGCTCATAGGGGTATAACAAATATACTATTATTAACTTAAATGTACCGATTAATTTACAAAACAACCTACTCAGCGAAGGAATTATTGTCAAGATGTACAAACGTATACATACATGATAAATTATAAATATTACATCTCAAACAATTTAGCTGTAATTCACAAATTCACGTTCAACAGATTTGAAACAAGTAAATAATATAGAAAATAGGGATGTTTTAGTATGATAAATCATCTTAAATTGTATTTCAGTCTCAAGAATTTGAAATTTACTATCGTGATATTTTTGGTTTTAAATGAATTTTATAAAATAAAGGCGGTAGTGATATTTCCTTTAAATTATAATGTTAATTGAAAGACGACAAAGTGAATGCTTTTTGATGACTTTAACTGTTTACACAAGATTTAAGGAGTTGGTAAACGAAATGTTAATCCATGCCGATTCGGCAAGGTAGGGCGGAAAATTTATAAAGATCACTTTTTTCATGAAAAAATAACAACCTAGAGTAATAATCTGTCAAATACTAAGAGTATTTTTTAATAATGAACAGATACAGAGCCGTAAATGTGATAAACAGCTCACTTGAAAAGCTGAATGGTTGATTAAAAATCAAGCATGATCACAGTATCAAAGACTGGAAGGTTACGTCACTAAATATAACTCAGTGAATTCTGTGGTTCAAATCTCAGTAAGTAATAATCATAGTTTATTTTATAATTACATGCATTTATAAATGTGTATAAACAAGTGTGACTACTTAAAATCATTCAGTAGTCATACTCGTATGAGTTAAACTATTGCTGTCTGAATTTATAATTAACTAGCTATATAAGCATTTAAGTACATTGAAGGAATTCACTTATACTTTTACTCCATACTAAACAACCACTCTGAGTAAACAAGTTTCCGATAACTTCCAAATTTTTTCCGTGTCCACCAACTTGTGTTTATTTGTATCATGTGTGAATGAAAGAAAACTCTGTTATTAATTAGCATTTCATAAATGTACTAGGATTTTGATGAACGGGTCAACTTATGATTTAATAGGAAAACCTTATGGCATTTTTCAAACTATATTCATTATCAAATGGTCTAGAAACTTTGTTCGAGACAAATTAAAAAGATCCAACAACAAATAATAATATTTTCAAGGACATTACGTTCAGCGTGAGTGTACCACATCAAAATGTTGATAAACAAAGTACGTTCCACTTAGATCAGTTGAAGTTGGGAGGGCTGAGAGATTTACCTCTCTATGTGGGTATGATTCGCTAGGTTTGACATTTAAGTGCACAGAGAATAAAAAGCATCAGTGTTTGGTAAATTAACATTGAACAACAATATTTCGAATAAAATCAATTTGAATATTGTCGGCTTAAATTTCCTTTTGTGAATATTGTTTTAATTTTCAGTCTTCAGTTTTATTTTGCTAAATTCTTTTGCTTTCAATCTCATTGAATTGAGTTAGTATTTGATATGAGCTTATTTATTTATGGAATTTAATATCAATCATCTTTGTCCTTAAAGTTTTACAGTTTATTAAAACCAACTTTTGTCACACATATTAACTTTAAGTTGAACGTTCCTTATACATGCGAAACCGAATCACTTAACCGTTTCAGAAAAAGTCTATATTGTCTCTGTTTCTTTCTGTAACTTATAGACATAAACTCAGAAATTTACGATAAATGGTCAGATACGCTTGAAAAGCATTCCTGTCAGTGTCTTTTGGATCGTAAATGCGGACCTCAATCAAACTTACTTTCGTCAGAGAAAACAGGTCTTCTACAACAAGATATAATTGAATTTTAAAGTTAAATGTGATATTCTCTCATTCTAACTATTTTTAGCTTCTAATATTTGAGAAGGTAATGAAGGAAAATATTACATTTGTATTTTATATGTCCTTTTAAATTAGATCATAACTCACAATTTATTTCTTTTTATAATTGAAAAAAAAATGATACAACTTGACGGAGTTCAATTATTTTATATGAATTAATATACGCAGAACCGATTTTATGTATTTTTTTTGTAACGTATGAATAAACAATTACTTTAATTTATTTGGTATTGTGTGCTTGTATTCTCCCATTGTTATTTAGGACTACAGTTGATCAGTCTCTTGTTGGCATATATGCATACTGTGCGAACTGCCTCGATATTGACTTAATTCACAAGTATTTTCGGCAAAGACGGATAGTGGCTAGCACTGGAATCCAGGACGCGCATTTTGTCTTATTTGGCAATCGTCAGCTGGATGCACTCTCATCTCAGAGTTGATGTTCACCCCCGAACTCAAACCCAGTACCGTTCGCTTCAAACGCCATCACATTATCCACTCAGCTACTGAGTCCTGATAGCCACATGCTTGTGCAATGGGGTGCAGGTACATCCGGCTGACGAGTCCCAAATAGGAAAAAACGCGCGTCCTGGATTCCAATGTTAGCCACTATCCATCTTTGCTTCTAAACGTTTACTTTCTTTTTCTTTGAGTATGCTACTCAATATAACTTATCAAAATATATAGTTGACGTTTTTAATTACTTACTTGAAATAAAATTATGACTGTTTAATAGATAATTAAAAGTTTAAAACTCTAACCTAACAAATTCTGAGTAATGTATGGAAATAAATCAGTTGAGCAGCTACATCGGTTACATGAATCGTGAATGAAAATATTCATAATTAATTTTGTTTATAGTAGCGTGATGCAATCACTGTTATGGACACATGTACGTAAGTTTAAAGTGATATTAACAGTGGACCAATATATCTTGGAATCCTAATTACTTTATTTCATAAGAACAAAATAGTTCCAAATCAAAATACAAGTAAAAAATTAATATTTGAATACAGATTATTTTTTAATAATCGTTAACTTCAAGTGCGAAAGAACTGAAATGTTGATTCTGAATATATTGGACAATCAATATGATTGATTAAATAATTGACAAGTAGATGTATAAGCTAATATTTGGCTACATTTTCCGTTTTATCAAAGTGGTACGTGTTCTTATTAATTTATATAAGGCCACGACTTCATGAAGACATAACATCAGATTCATGGTTGGATACTAATGAATTTAATTGTGATCGTTTTCACATTTTCTTAAGCACACAATCCCTAATTTATCATAAAACCATTAAATGTTTTCTATTATCTTGTAAAGTTAGTGTTTTACATGGTATTTATTCTAGTAACGATGTATCATTATATTAATTTCAACCTGTGACTAATCTAAGAATGACTGGTTGGTTCATTTCGCGGTAGCTGTATTATACATAACTGAGTAAAATCAAGTTCTAAGTAACTTACTCTTAAATTATAGATTATAAATACTAATGCTCTCAGAACTTTGTTTTACAGATAATTTAGATTTATTTGAACCCCTCATTAAGAGATATATTTATGTTTCACAACTCAAATCCTGTTTGAAGTTTAAGCTCGGAAATGACTTCCAACAGAAACATCAGAGCTATTTAGTTCAAAATGCCGAGGTTTATCTAAATGAAACTTTATTTTCAATGTTTTTCGTACACTCATAGCCTAACTAATTCAACACCTCTCGTTCAAAACTTGGTAAAAATTCTTATAAAGTATTCCAAAATAATGAGATTTTTTATTTTGGTTCGGTCGGGAAAACGAATATAGAAATGACGTATTAAAAAATGTTTTGTGATCTGTCGGAAACAATTTTCCAAAGAACTTTAACACAAAGACCGACTAGAGAACAGTACAACATATAGGTTAGATGAAGGAATATCTTCGAACTAAAAAATAACTATATTCTGGAAGGAAATGAGATAGAGTATGACACGTGTATAGTTTAAATTGTAGACTGAAATAAATCAATTTATTTAATGTTCTATGTATATATATTTAAACGAACATGAAACATTTATCTTTCCATTTGAAAATGAGTAGCGGAAAACGGACAAATAGTTATTTATGACCATAAACTTGTATCTAAAATAAGTAAATAAAGGTATATTGTATTGTTTTGCTGAGCAGAAAACTGATATAAGATATCAAAGTCAATGGTAATGATAGCTTACCGTTTAGAAAGGATACTGAGTTATATATACATATATATCAAATCTTAATCATTTTTTTAAATATCCATTGCACATCAAAACAATGGAGTAAAAGAGGGGTTTGAGTAGCCTACTATGAAAATAATAACATCAATAATTGTCTTTGTGTAAGTTTATGAAAAGAAAAGCATTCGTTTTAATAAGATTTATCTACAAACATAAACAAGTTACAAGCGAAACATAACAACGTTCGCAAAATATACAAAGAAGTTATTAGAATTAATAATTCAGAATATATGATTAATGTAGAGAATGTAAACACTGTAGATGAAAATAGTCAAAAAGGTTATGAAAGTGAATAAACAACTGATCAGAAAATAACTCATGTTTTCACGTTTCTCTTATTTGAATACTCTTAATTTTATTTTAATAAAATGAAATAAAAAAACTAGCATAAGGCTTTGTGACTGTTGGTGGGTGTTATGCTGTAACACGGTTTTCCTTTCTAAAACACTATAGTTTGTGTCGGCCATCGCCAAAGATATAAAAGATACAACCGAAATATATTAACTGCTCTGTAAACTGATCAAACTGTACTTATTTTAAAGTCAATCTTTAGTCAACCGTTATTTGTCTGTGGTGCTAGGAGATATGTTAAATTTACTGTATAAAACATCAGATTTATCAAGTCAAATGAAATGATTTTCTGGCTAAACAAAAAATCCTGAGGTCTAGGTAACTCACCATTAATCCCGAACCATCCGTTCAGTATTCTGAAATTAACGAGATCCTTTTTCGAGCTATGAGCTCATATTCAGCCATTTAGTGTACTAATATTTTTATAAGTTACTGTGATATATGATGTAACTCCGTAATTTATTTATATTCGTAGTTACGGAATTCAATCTGGTGATATTGTAAATTGTCAATATTAGGCCATTTGAGACTGTCGAGTCGGTTTACTATGTTAAGCCCACATAACTTATTCTAGCTTCTGGACAGGCCAATTTATCCTTCTTCTTGAGTTACGTTTTGACCTTGTTAATTATTCGCTTGTCAATTTAACTGTTGTTAGATGAGCGTATGTGTGTATACATCTTTCCTACTCATCACATATCTGTAGCTTGTTTTTGTGTGATTATAAATATTGATGAACGCCCGATTAAATGGAGTTGATTCACGTGCCTTCTCCACTGCACGCTATTTCACTTCGCTCTCTTCTCTTTGTTTCGTCTCCCTAATTGCCTGTTCAAATCACTGAGTGCATGAAGTATACATATTCAAAATCCATCGTCGTATTCGGCTTATTTAATTCCGTTACATTCACTAACACGGATTAAGTCGATAATAATGTACGACAATAGTTAGGATGTATATTTCGACAGAAATCATTCAATAACAGCCATCCATACGATCTACTTGGAGTCAGGTCCCAGGCCAAAAAAGTGTGTAGCTTGTAGGTGACAAACCTAACGCAGCACATATGTATTTCAATAACATTCATATGATCCAATTGGAGTCAGATAAGGGGCCACTAAAGTGGTGAGCACGTCGATAACATCGTCCGACTTAATTGACGTTAAAATGAAGGGCCCCACTAAAAGGTGTCATATTCCTAAAATTATATCGGTAGTACATTTTTCATGTGGGCTATAGCAATGTAAGGGATCACTCGGAAACTATCAATTGCTGTCGATGGTATAAACAGTGCATTCAATTTCATTTCCACGATCATAACTATCCAGAACTATAGAAAATAAAATCGAAACAGTGAGCACAGAACAACGATGTTTAGTATGAAAAGTCTATTGAGATGCATGTACCAGGTGGTTTCATGATTTACTGTTAAAGTTAGATATTACTTAAACCATTATATTATTTTATTTTATTTTATTTGAACACATGAATATTGGTACAGGGGGGCACCAAATATATATGCGCCACACAAAACAATGATAATCTGAAGAGAAGGAGAAAAAATATATATATATAAATAAAAGTAATGAACGTGGGGAATTATAAAAAAAAGAGGGAGAGAACAATGATTGGGAAAACGAAAAGGTACAATCAAAAGAAATCTTTCAGTTAAGGAAGATACAACCACTTTTTATGAAGAAAGTAAAAGAAGGTTACAGCAGGATCGCCACTGGCTTCTATTCTGAGCCATATCTGATAACGTCTCTAGCCCAGATTGCCATAAGCCGCTCTGGCTTTCACTATACGTGCATTGATCTCATCACTCACGCCACCACCACCAGCACTTATGCAGCTACCTAGATACACGAACTTCTCGACTACTTCAATCTGCTCACCATCCAGAGTGAGTACAGGATTAGAATCCTGCCAGTCTTGTAGAAATACTTTGCACTTCGAAGGTGCAAAGCACATACCATACCTACGGACATTGATTGTCAACTGATTAAGTGCGGATTGCATAGCTTGGGCATTCTCGCACAGTAAGACAATATCATCCGCATACTCAAGGTCGCGAAGTCTTTCTCCAGGCAACAGATCCACACCACCATTACTTACATCCGCCAGAGCTGTTTCCAGAATGTCATCGATGGCAAAGTTGAAGAGGAATGGTGAGATTGGGCAACCCTGCCTAACCCCACTGCTTGAATGGAATAGTGGAGAAAGGTGGTTGTATGCCCTCACTCTACCTGAGGTGTTTGTGTATAGGGCTTTTAGGATGTTAATAAACTTCTCAGGCGCACCCTTCTTCAATAGACAATCCCAGAGAACAGTTCTGTCCAACGAATCGAAGAGAGCCC